TAATATATATCACGATGGCCGGTTCATTAGAGAATTTCAGATTACAAAATATGTGTCTACATTTGCATTGGTGATAAAAGGACAGAAATCTTTTTTTTTTACAACATCACTCCCAAACGAGATATCTAGTAGACTTAGTTTAAAAGGGACAACAGCCTCCATGTTCTAGCCAAGGAAGAAAGATGGTTTGAGAGAGGGGTTAAGGAAGCCATCTTTGCTGGGGTGGGAAAAAACTCTCTACAGAGGATATGGTGTCAGACATAACCTTTCACCTACTTACAAACAGAGGTAGATAGAGAACCCAAAATATATACTCAAGCAAGAGTAGCAATACTTTATTTTTTTCTTACTCAAGTAAAATTAAAAAGTATTTGGTAAAAAGGTTACTTATGAACTGAGTAACTGTTGGATGATAACATTGGATTCAATGTTTATAAATGATGCTGGCAAACAGACATTATGTGGAAGTTCTGGCATTTTAAAGACTCAAATGCATAAAGATCACAAAAACATGTAATTAATAATTATATCTATATCTATATATATATATAGATATAGACCGTTTCTTAATATGTGTAATTTTGCGTTTTTATGTGCTCGAAAAACATCATCATACTCAGCTCTAGTATTGTTCCAATTCACAAGAACAAGGAGACCGAGGACAGACAAACCTTCCAGATGTTGTTCTGGCCCCTCCCTCTTTACCCAGCATGCATCAGAGCAGACTTGAGATTGACAGCTGTCCCAGCATGCACTGCAGCAGCTTCCAGGTTAGCGCTTACAGAGCTCAGAGTATTAAGTTAAAAGTTCTCTTTTCTGTTGCTGTTGTTCTATAAAAGTACATTTTAAGATCATTTGAGGCGAGAATATTAATTCTATTCAGTTTATTTCTATAGCGCCAATTTACAACACATGTCATCTTAAGGAACTTTCCAGTTCAACCAGATCATCCAGTCAGATTGATTCAAAGTTTTCTATCTAAGGAAAACCAGTTGATTGCATCGACTCATTGACTCTTCAGC